GTGAATTTTTAAGGTGAAAACAGAAATTTAAATCCGGCCGGATTTTCTCCAAATCCGGCCGGATACCGGATGCCGGAAAATTCGTTAAATCCGGTGCACCCCTAATAACAAGTTGCTATGAGCTTGTTGTCCACAACTTGTTAACAACTTGTTACGTGCAGACGAATATCAGACTTGTTGGAAAATTTTTTTCCGGTCTGTTGGCCTCATCAACTTTGTTACAAGATGACAGCAACTTTTGTAGGGGTGATGTGCGCATGCATATCCTCACTTTGCCAGCAACACCGTGAACAAACCTTCTAATTTTGCTTTTGTAGAGAGGTATATCATACTAAAAGAATGCAACGAGTGTTCTGTGTTAAGTGGAGTCCTGATTCTGAGTTTATTTTATCTGGTAGTGATGAAATGAATGTAAGGTAAGGACGGCCACAACCGAATGTGTATACTCGTATTTTAATATACTCAAGCCCTGACTTCTTTTCTTTTCATTTAAGAATTTGGAAAGCTGAAGCATCTGCAAAACTCGGTCCGGTAAGTAGCTACATAATGACTCCATTGCTTGCCAATATCGTTTGTGCATGCTCTGCTCCTTGCAACCTCGTACCCAGGCTATTTTCTCTCGTGCTCTGGTGCACGGCCACCTTACGAGGGATGTGTTCCTTGACAATAAGCCTTATTTTGTCAGGTGAATAGACAACCGTTGCCCATTTGTATACTGATGGTTTTTTACAAGTAGTTTACTATTTTTGATGTCACCCGTTCTAAAATCATTGTGTTGTGATTGTTGTGTATGTTTATTAATAAATGCATTGTTGCTATAACTGCATTCGGAATTTTGAATATTGATATATGCGCAAAACAATGTTTCTGTGTTTACCATGTTGCTGTTATTTTTGAAAAACGTTGTCGTTATAAGTAACGTTCTTTATTACAGCTTGCTCCTCGTCAAAAAGCCGCTCTCACATACAACAAGAAGTTGAAAGAAAGATATAAATTTCATCCGCAAGTCTTGAGGATTTTAAGGTAGATCGTGCGTTTGAGATGTTTTTTTAATTAAGTAAAACTGTTTTTTGGTTAATTGTTTTCTTCTGTCGTATTCCGTCCTAGACATCGTCACGTTCCATCTGCTATATACAAAGCAGCTCGAGAGAAGAGGGTTATATTACAGTCCCGCAAAACAAGGTCAGTTTTTTTATTTCGGAAAGTTGTTGTAATACCGTATGTATTGGTTTAATAATAATAATTGTGTCTTAGGGTCCGGTCATTATTTATGGCGGGGGGTGGCACCGAAGAAAAAGGGGTTGGGTAAACAAAATTTTGAGTGAATAAAAGGTTGATGAAAAACAAAGCAACTCAAGGGTTGGGTAATAATAATTTATTGTCATTTCTAAAGCCGGACTCGCTCAAATATTGAAGACTAAAAAGCAATATCAGCAGTCACATGTCAATACAATATATGTAAATCAATCAATCAGAGTCACTACCTTGAAAAAAATTGTACAAGCGATTACCAAATTCATGTCACAGAAGTGGTAAACGACATTTGTGACAACAGAACGGTATCCTTTAATTTGTAAAGTTTTTGCCAGGCGTGGGTATTAATTTTTTAATTGATATTTGAGGTTCGGTAAAAAAAATTGAATTTTTAATGGTTCGATCAGAAAATATTTACCAATGAAGAAAAACGTTTCTTTTCGACCGGGCCCTTAGGTACGATTTTATATTTTGGGAGTGTTCTAAATCGTCCAGAAGAATTTAAGGTTACCCGTAAAGGAGTGTTCAGATCTGTGCGTATAACCTGTCATTTATCTAACAAAGATTGTAAAAAAAGAATCGTCCATCTCCAGTATAAATACGTGGGCAGTACTTATTCTTTGTTTATGCCTAGGGAGGAAAATCGTCGACTCCACAGTGCCACGGGAAAGGTACCTTATGTGCCGGAGAGGAAAAAACAAATTGTCTCAGTTGTGGAGTGATTGCTGGATATATATATATATATGGATAACAATTGCTATTGTATGAGGTACCGGGAGGGATATATGAGGGATGTATCGATGTATACATTCAGTGAAGGTGCGATACTCTGAAGCTCTGCACAGAGAAATTGAGCAGTTAAGGTTTTTACATTCAAATGCTTGGTTTATTATATCGAGAACAGTAACAGAAGGATTAGGGTTGGCCCCAAATTATGACAAGATATATTATAATGTATCCCTGTTTATTAGTACTGGCGTTTTCGGATTTTTTTGCATAAAAGTCAACTAAATTGACTGATAAAAACTTGTTTAAAATAACAAAAAACATTTTATTTTTGCTACAATGGAAGAACGTACAAATCATGTTTTGCATAAAAGTCTATTTATCTGACTATTAAATAAACGAGCTGTCCCTAAACACTTATTTTCATATTTTGTTGCTTAAATAAAGTCAATTGTCCCCAACACTGACCGCTTTTAAGTAATTGGAACGTCTTTCACGACATCTTTCTCATGCGCACTCGACGCTGACGACATGAACTCTACGTCATTGGGTGGTCGTAACTCCTCCCCAGGCTCCGCAAACACGGGCTGGTGTTGACTTCCGGCCGTGTGGGCTGAACTAACGGTATTGTGGCTCCTCTCGCGTTCCTCTTCCGGTACGTTTCGTTCGGGTTGGATGACAAGGATGTAGACTTTTGGTAGGATGATGCAACCGCAGATCGCTAATGCGCCCACGAGCGTCGTGGTTGCTATGACAATACTGGTCGTCATGCCTTGAGCAAATCGATAGGTCGGGAAGAATGCTATTAACAGGATGCAAATCGAAATGGTGCAGAAACTTATGTACTTCGCTTCGTGGTGATTCTTGCGATCGTCGCGCTCTTTAAACGCAAAAACTGTCGCGAAAAATAAGACGAGCAACGGGAAGCCTGTCGCGATGAACCGACCTGCTTCCCAGCTGGAATTGCATTCCCGGATGTGCACTGCCTGCGAGCTTTCCAAGTAGCGGACGAAGGGTGTGTCTGTTAGGAACCAGACCCCCATGAGGAGAAGTTGGAAGAGCAGCAAGGCCCCCACGAATATTAGGGCGACATACTCCGCCGCGGGTTTGATGTAATGTGAGGCAAACTTTTTGAGGTGCGAGTCACATGTCTTCGTCTTAGCCAATAAGGTGCTTGCAAGCATGAGGAGTACGAATTGCAAAAGTCCGCCCAGAAGTCGGCACACTCCGTCCGTACGATATAGGGAGACTTGGAAAATCGAATAGAGGAATCCCAGAGCGGTCGAGAGCAGTAGAAGGGCGAGGAGGATTGGGGCCGAGTCTTGGATCAATGGGGTATCCTTGACGTAAAAGAACAGTGACGCCACTATCACCACGGCAACCAGGCCAATGGTACTTATGGATATGATGACAATTGAAAAAGCGTCGCTCGATTCGACGTAGTCGATTGAGGTTTTCAAGCATTCTGTTTGGCCATCGTTAGCGTACCAGCCCGCTGGGCATGCGTAACATTCTGTTGCCCCCGTGGTGTTGCTTATCTTCCCCCTGGGGCAAGGGTGACAGGCCCAGCAACAATCACTCTGCCCCACCTGTTTTTGTCCGGGTTGGCACACCTGACTGCAGGTTGCAGATGGGATCTTGCCATCGTTCCATGTTAGATCCACGTTTTCAAGGAAGCTCGGGCGGTCAGGCTGCAGGGATGACCAGTTTGCGACTGTTTTAAATTCAAGAGTGCGTTTCTCACGGTCGAGCAACACGTTACGGAAAGTGTACTTTTTTGTGTCCAAATCACCACTCTTGTCGAACGAAACCTGCTCTCCTATAGGGCTGGTGAAAGATGCATTCTGTATGTAGGCATACAAGTCTTTACCGCTCAGTGGAAAGCTTGTATTTGGGCAAAGACCATTCGCCAACCGTCCGTTGCATTTTAGGAGATTATCCAACCCATACGCGACAGCGTTGATGCTGTTTATAATACTTATAAGTCTACTCCAACGGTTTGCGAGATTTAGCGTGTTGTTGTCAAGCTTTTCGTCTTTTCTGCATTGTCTTTTGCCAGGCATGGCTTTGCTGTTACAGTTGAGAGATTTTTCTAACAGTTTCAACATCCATGGATTGCTCGCTGCTTTTTCTACCGTTATACTCAAAAGGTATTCTTCAAATTCAGGAATTTTTGCGTACACGAAGTCCACGCCGAAAGAGCCGTGTAGCAGGTCAGCGTTGATGTCGTAATTCACTATCGTTGGTCCGATGGCATCGCTCAGAATCCACGTCATGTTTCGTAGGCCTTGCTTCTCTGCTTCTTGTAGTACCTAGTAATAAGCAAAACTCTTTGTTTTTGTTCTCCCAAAATATATTTGCAAAAAGAACTTTGTCCGACGTTTCCCTCCACGGAAACCATTTTCAAACCATTCAACAAGCAAGATTTTATTTCACGAGGGAAAACGTATTAGCTATATATAAAAGTTATATAACATACCGCCCTACCAATATTGGGATTGTACAGTGACAGACACGGTTATATACCGCTCTGCCCTTACCGCTGAGGTAAGCCTACTACTGTAGGTCGAGGGTAGTGTATTATACTTCAGGAAAGCAAGGATGACTGATTTGTTTAGAGCGCTGTCTCTTACTGCTGAGTTAAGCCTGCTACTGTTTGTCGAGGGTACGGTATTACTTTACGAAAGCAAGGGTGATAGATGTGTTTAGAGCGCTGTCTCTTACTGCTGAGTTAAGCCTGCTACTGTTTGTCGAGGGTAGGGTATTACTTTAGGAAAGCAAGGGTGACAGATATGTTTAGAGCGCTGTCTCTCACTGCTGAGTTAAGTCTGCTACTGTGAGTCGAGGGTAGGGTATTACTCGTAGCGAAATCTAAAGGCCAAAAAACACTACACAACATTTGCCTCAAACTGTCGAATGCAACCTGCTTACAACTTGAGTTGTACTGTGTAAATCAATCACACAATTCGCCTACGCAACGTAGGCACGTTGTGCGCTTTAGGCAAAAGTTGCGTATAGTGTATAAATTGGCCTCAATACCCTACCCCTCGACCTACAGCAGGCTTAACTCAGCAGTTAGGTGGAGCGCACGATATAATCGTGTGCCACCTGTACTTAAATAAATATGGAGCATTGTACAGGCACATCCATACGTATATTTAATATAGCGAACTACTCAATATTACCTGTGATGCCTGTTGCTCGAACATAAATAGGACTGCCACTCCGACACGGGGCATGCTTTTCATTTTCTCGATAATTTTTGTGGTCTGTTTCGTCGCATCGCTTGGTCGTTGAAACGGAATATTCACATCATCAGCTGTGCATACTTTGAGTTTTCTCGCTGCCATTTTAAACGATGCCAATCCTTGCCGACCATATTCATCGTCAGAGCCGAGAAAAAACACGTAATTCCAATCGAACTTGTTTACAAACGACGCGATTGCCTCGGCTTGGTATTTGTCGGAGGGGATGGTACGTAGGAACGACTTAAATCGGGACTTATCGCTTAAAATACTCGACGAAGCCGAGTAGCCTATTTGAGGGATGTTGTATAAACCAAGTAGACTCGCACTTGGTACTGAGCTACTCGACGTAGCAGGGCCGATGACTGCTCCAACCCGTTTATCTATAAACGGCCCCAAATATTGATCGGCAGTACAAAATTCCTCGTCTTGACGACAAATTGAACCCGGCCGATATTTCGAGACGATCCCGATAGCTCGCTTCATGATCAGGTGTAAGTCGAGTTTATCATTCACGATGTCGTAGCCGAGTGTCACGTTTGTTAAAAGCTTTGAATTATTGTTTATTTGGTCGATTGTTACTCTCACAACTTCGCTTGCGATTGCGTAAGTGTCCAATAAGTCACCGTCGCCTCTTGTTATCGGCAGCAACGCTTCGATAACGAAATCGCCATCTTGGTATAGAGTTGAATCCTGACTGCTAGCTATATTGTTTAAAAGAAGCACGAAAGTACATAAGGTTAAGGATAAACAACGAGGAAAGGTCGCCTTTGGTATTCTTTGCTTCGCTGAAAACATTTTAGCAACTATGCTTTTCATCTTTTACCAAATTGTGTTATTGTGAATTTCGATACAAATATACATAAGCGCGTCGCGTTTCGACTAACCACTTGGCACCTTTCACTTCGAAACAAACATGACAATATAAGATGTAAATTTAAATAATCCAAATGCAAATCACTTAAAACGGAAGTCTCGACGTCTTAAAATATACAAAGAAATTTTAACTTTTTAATATTCAATTTGAATGCCCACCTTCGTGGTTATTAATAAGCTTCCTAGCAAAAACTGTTATCTGATGTCATTATCTTGTATATTAAAGAAAAGATGTAAGAACTAGGAAGATATTAAAAACCTGTCAATTTGTTAAATAAACACGAAAATGCAAATAAGTTTGAGAACTGAAAGTCTGAAGCGATAATTTGAAGGGAATCATTGGTGACGGAAACACTTAGCACACTTCTTCTAGGTAACGCCGAGTTGAGTCGTTTTCCGCTTGTAACCTATCGCATCGTAGTATTCCCTTTTGTGTCGAAGCATTAGTTCCACTATATAGCGCTTAGGAAACAAAGAAATGGTTGTAGCTTAAGCCTGATGCTGTTGTAGGTCGAGGGTAGGGTATTAATGATGACTATACAGCTAATTCAAAAAAAGTTGTCCTTGAATACCATACCTTAAACCTTAAACTCTAAGCACGCAAAGCTTAATTGGAACACAAGTTTGAAGCTTAGTAGTTGAATACTGCATCGATTTGTGAATGAATTGTTCCCGTAAGGAGATATTTACCATGTCTCTAAGAAATGGGCCCCTGCATATATCATTTCTAAACTAATTAAATGATGCTTTACACACTTAGAGTTTAAAGTTTAAGATTTAGACTTTAAGGTTTGCAAAGGACAACCTTCTTTGAAAAAGCTGTATGTTACCCTTCTCTGACAGTCTGCAGACTTGAAAGCTCGGACCAGAATTTTCTCTGGGCTACTCCGCCGAATTTCTTCGCTCACCAAAAACTATAAGCCCTTTGGAACGAGTATCCTTGCATGGCAAGGAGAAATTGTCATTTTTTTGCCATACACACGTTTGTCGAGCAAATGAAATTTGTCAAAGGAACAATTGTCCATCTTTATGCGAGGTTTTATATAACAGAGTTAGAAAACAATGTTGACTCTTTTAATTATACTGATAAATGAAAAGGTTTGAGAGGTATAATTACTATTCTATAGCAATCATTAATTCTGCGGACCGTTGCTAAAAAACCATGGTGATTTGACCGTAGTTCAACTTATGCTATTGTAGTATTATTACTTTGAATTTTCCTGTAAATATTGTTTGCGTGTTTGAACAAGTTAGCAAGACACCTTTTGTACCGACGGCAAATTGAAAGTAAATATAGGAAATGCAAATACTGGAAAGAAAATGCTCCGGAAAGACGGAAAAGTCCAGCACAATATTGGTCGTTTGGCACCGAAGATTGGTTTTCTTTATGTCCTTTCCAATTTATGGGAACAGGTAGGTTTGACAAAGCAGCATCGTACAGTTGTCAGAGTGAGAAAATAATGTTCATTCTTTTTCTGTGGTTGTAAATTGATAGAAATGAGAGATGTCGTTTTAATGTGCATGCCTTTATACAAGTGTCAACATTTTCATAGCTGACAAACATCTGCTGACCTGTAAGTGTATATCTGATATACCAGCAATTATATTTGCTTTATTTCATTCATGATATGTTTCACTTTGTCCGTATACTGTGTCATATTTCAGATTATTCTTGGTTGAAGTGCTGACTGTTAAAGTACCGAAGAAAAAAACGAATCAAGAGAGCTGAGTCGAATACTCGTAAGTGCTTATATACGTGTATAATTGTTGAGCATCTTGAGTGCACGAGACAATCGAGGTTTCGGCAAGCATGGACTCGCGAGGACATGCATGTGAGCTAGAGGGAGGATGGATCGCATTGTTCAGCCTGAATTCAAGCTGTTGAGGGTTTCGGGTGTGTGTGTGTGTGTGTGTGTGGGGGGGGGGGGGTTCAGATTCCCGTGCTTGCTTGAAATCGTTCCTTTGTTTCCTTTTCCACACAAAAAAATTATCATGTTTCCCTGTTCCATAGGCTTACATGTTCCCTGATTCCTTGTGGCTTTGTTCCAATCGCTAAATATAGCTTGTTCCCTCACTGTTTCCTGTGCACTCAAACACATTTGGGAGTTATATATTTGCGGGGCTTCGCGGTGGCGCGTCGTTAGAGTAAGGCCTTTCACCTCTGAGATCGTGGGGTGGATTCCCGCTACGGACTCGTGTGAAAAGAGTCCGTCAACGCTCTGCCAAAAGTCGTGGGATTTCTCCGGGTGCTCCGCGCGGTTTCCCACAGGGAAAGTTGACAGGGTGAGTTAGGATAAACATATAGTTAAGAAAGTAGTATCTCATCGTCGCAAAGTTAAATATGGATTATGGGAAGAACCGGCCGGAGAAAGTCCTTTGTAAAACTACCTTTTGCCTGAGCGTTAAGGATATCTTAAGTCCGCGTGCAATGAGAATTGAGGTTATTAAAATAGTGATAGGCCTGTTTACGATAAAGCTTCCATGCAAAGCTTTGTTTATATCTTGTGAAGTTTTCATGAACGAAGCGTCATTAATTAACTTGGATTCAACTGTCCTGTAGACTTATTATTTATAAATTCAAATTCTGTCTTTCAAACAGGTTTCCATGCACCAAAGCTTCTTTGATATATAAACATGACGTACAACTGAGTCATTTAAAGACCAGCTGTCTATGTATACTGGCTCTAGAATAATCGCTTGTTATTTTGTGGTTATATCTTATGTATTAGCATTTTGTTTTCGGCAATGTTTTACTACAAATGTGTTGCATTGTGACACGCAGCATTTTTGAAAAGGATTATACGTCGGATCACTTTGGGTTATTTTGCCTTATTTGCAAAGGAATTTTTAAACTTGTTTCACTAAGGTAAGGAGAATTTGGTCGATTTGATTTTGAAAATTTGAATGTTGAGGTTTACACTGCATATAATTCATTAAAGCATGTTTTGAGGATATGCCGCCGTTGACGAAGTAACTTTTTTTATAGAACATTGACTTTTTCGGCATAAATATTTCGCCTTAAATAAAGCCGAGCGAAGGGAATTCATTTATATTTTAGCTATAAAAATAATATTCTGCTTGCATACACTTGTTCAGTTGAAGACGGACGTTCTCAAGAATTTTTTTTACTGAAAAACTATACGCAACTATAACTTGTTGGCGAATAAAAAGCGCAAAATTTGCAAATCGAAAACAGGAAGCATATCGACATATGACAAGGATTTAACGAGACTGCCTATATAATGGGTTATGTATAAAAGTTTGCTTATTAAACACTCTGCGCGAATATGATAAAGACGTTTGCAAACCCCTAGATGTGAGAGATAAAAAATAATATTTTCCAAGCCATTTTTCTATTCAATTCCTTTTACTTTGTTATCTAGCGAAAAGTAAAAAAAAGTTTGATAATTTCTAGATGTCTGATGCTATTGACCGCATATATAGGCCTATATAGTATTTTCGAGACTGTCATTTGTATTATTACTTATCATTTTAATTAAACTGCCATCATTCATTTAAAGACTAAAAGGATGTGTCGTTTTTAAAGCGAAAATTAATAGTTGTCGGTCTACTAGCTAGCTTTAAAAGAGAAATATGTAATTTGTGTATATGTAAATGACATGTAATACAAACAAAACCTCGGATTTTTTGAAACGAAAGTGGTCAAAATGAATAAGCATTGATAAAAAATGGGCGTTTAAGGAATATAAAAAAACCGTGATAATTTCGTTCGGCAAAGACAAAACGCCCAATTTATATTTAAATTTTAACAAGTATCTGCTGTGGACGCGGTAATTATAATTCTAGACATATACAGGAAATGAAATTTGAAGCGAATATATTAAACAAAACCAATTATTATATAATTTTTAGACGTCGCATTGTTCCACTGAAGAGAACTAATTCTATTTATATAGCTCTATCAGTATATCTGAGGTAGACAACACAACTAAACTGACTTTGTTTAGTATATATATTGGATAGTTTATTTCCTAATTCGTAAAACAGTATAAACAGACCCTTTTTCAGCAAATTGCACATGCTGGCTTTGATCCATTGGGGATGAGGCAGCATTTCCTTGCGATAGTAACTTCTAGGTTTAGTATATATATTGGATAGTCTATATCTCCTAATTCGTAAGACAGAGTATGCCCGTTTGCATTTTGGAAATTGAAATTTGACACCCTAATTTGTAGGTATAGATGCGGCTAGCTCTAGCTATATCAGTTCTAAACTGTTTTCCGTAAAGGTCCAGAAAAAGGGTACATTGATTGCAGATGGAATGAAGAAGCGCATTCAACCCCAATATTAATCAGAGTTGTTTGAGTGAATGCCTGGTCTAATATATCTATTTTCTGTCGGCTCGAGATAATTATCCATTTCCCTTTCCGCTCTTCATGAGCAATTTCATTCATGTTGCTATGTAATTTAGGTTCGCTGATTTTAGGATTCTGTGCGGCATAGCGGTGAAGTGTATGTGTGTGTCACCTTTATGACCTGTGGGCTTCATGCAATATAATTTCACATCGGTCCTCTAGGAAGAACAGTTTAGAACTGATATAGCTATCCAGTATAAATAAAGTTAGTTTAGTTAAGGTTTCTTCCTGTAGTAACACTGGATCAATAAGAGATGATCCTTACTGGACCTCTAGGAAGAACAGTTTCGAACTGATAGAGCTATCCAGTATAAATAAAGTTCGTTTAGTTTAGGTTTCCTCCTGTAGTAACACTGGATCAATAAGAGATGATCCTTACTGGACCTTTAGGAATAACAGTTTAGAACTGATAGAGTTATCCAGCTAGTATAAATAAAGTTAGTTTATTTTACGTTTCCTCCTGAAGTAACACTGGATCAATAAGAGATGATCTTTACTGGACCTTTAGGAATAACAGTTTAGAACTGATAGAGTTATCCAGCTAGTATAAATAAAGTTAGTTTAGGTTTCCTTCTGTATAGTAACACTGGATCAGTAAGAGATGATCCTTACTGGACCTCTAGGGAGAACAGTTTTAGAGCTATCCAGTATAATTGTATAAATAAAGTTAGTTTAGTTTAGGTTTCCTCCCGTACGTAGTAACACTGGATCAATAAGAGATGATCCTTACTTGACCTCTAGGAAGAACAGCTTAGAACTGATATATAGCTATCCAGTATAAGTAAAGTTAGTTTAGTTTAGTTTTAGGTTTCTTCCTGTAGTAACACTGGATCAATAAGAGATGATCCTTACTGGACCTCTAGGAAGAACAGTTTAGAACTGATAGAGCTATCCAGTGTGAATAAAGTTAGTTTAGTTTAGGTTTCTTCCTGTAGTAACACTGGATCAATAAGAGATGATCCTTACTGGACCTCTAGGGAGAACAGTTTAAAACTGATAGCGTTATCCAATGACAATGCAAATGAAGTTCAATTAGTTTTGGTTTACCGCTCATCTTGTTATAAATATTGCTCGTGATTATTGAAGCGTCATTAGTCATGAGACTGTATTCATGCATTGTGTTTTTACTCTAGCCGTAGGGGTCTTTTCTCTTAGCTTGGCTTCTAAAGTGTTTCTCTAACACTGCTGTGATGAAATAATCAACGTATATGATCGCCCACTGTTTCGGAGTTGTGTATATGCTAAGATAATATCTCAAATTAACAAAAAGCCGGCAACAGGTGCATCACGCATTGCCTGTTAACTTGGGCACATTTTCAAATCAGTATCAGCAAGGTGTATATGCGGCCCTGCTTTGTGTCGGAACTACTGGAAAAAGATTAAACATAGAAACACTGCGACGTTTTGTGAAGAGGTTAAAGTGGAGCTTTTCATTCGCTCGAAATGTCTTAGTGTGTCATATTTTCTTTTATGTACTTCAGACGCTAATATAGAAGCTGTAACAACCTGTGCACATGGAACCCCGCGTTTGTATATATCATTATAACAAAACAGTCTCTTGGCGAGGAGGTTGTTTTGCAAAACAATCTCATGAACAATATGGCGTATATTACTGAAGAGGCTGCGATAACAGCGAACTGAATTTAATTTAATCTATATCGCCAGTTTTTGTTTGTATATATAGTAGGTTTTACTGGGTTTTTAACTTGGGTCTTGTATTTTCTATGCAATTAAGACTGCGGAGGAAACAGCAAGACAGACAAGATGTCTATCAAAACCACGCCGCGGACTCTATAGGCTATAGCTTTCAATAATAGACAATTCCCATTATAGACTAATTTTAAAATCACCACAGCTAGAAAGAGCATACTAAAATGAGTAAAATTGCAAAGTTTGGTTGCGAAATGTTGTAAAATGTGGAAAATATAGCCTTGCAAAGTTCGCAAATTTTGTATACTTTTGTATAATTGCGTGCGGCCATTTTCGGCCTAAATGTGGTAGGAATGTGGTATAGGAATTTCCGCACTCAATACAAAAGTATACAAAATTTGCGAACTTTGCAAGGCTATATTTTCCACATTTTACAACATTTCGCAACCAAACTTTGCAATTTTACTCATTTTAGTATGCTCTTTCTAGCTGTGGTGATTTATTTGAGTCTCCTTGCCAAGTTTTAAAATTAGAATGGGAATTGTCTATTATAAAATGTAAAATTTTGGGGATAGTTTTCTATCTATACAATGGAATGGAGCTTCTACTAACAGCTATCTTTACAATGGCCATATCATCATGCATGTATGCAAGGATCTAGCAAGCTTTTATCCCAAAATGTCTTACAGTCAGAAATCTCACTGTTACCGAAGGCAAGGCTGCAAGATAACAATATGTTTTGATGCATGAATAAAATATGATAGAATGTATACTAAAGAATAGCATGGAATATATACAATAGATTAGAATATACGATATGTTATATACAATATTCGCCCTTCAAAATGAGGAAAGGCTTTTGACAATATATAGATTAAATTGGGATATTTGAATATGAGAAATACAATATAGAAAACATTGAAACAAAGGATAGAATGAAATCCATGACTCTTTCTTTCTTTTAAAAATTCGGTATATTCAGAGTAACAAGAGGACACAAAATCCTTCCGAGGTCAACTGCCATTAGTTCTATATTACTATATATATATACTATAAAATAGTATCATAATACTGAACTCAACATGAACATAGGTTCGTAGACATAGTATATTAATAATATATAGCTCTGCGACATTTAGAACAAATGTTATCTTCATCGAAGACAGATGATAGCCTTTGTATGACAAGTTAATCAAAGAGCCACAGACCTTTATGCATGCTGGATATGGCAATATTAAGTCATAACATATGACAAAACTCCATTTTTTTAAATAAATGAAGAAAATGAATTTAGAAAGAAAAATTTCATAAAGTATTTGTTATCCTAAATTTAAGTGTGTTTTGCTTTCATGAAATTAATGTAAATTTTTCAATGGCTTAAGATAGAGTTAATGATAAGCTAAACAATTCTATATATTATACATGCATTTTATCCTAAAATGCTAAGTTATAGTAAGTATATTATATTTGATGCACAGCCTATATAAACATTTTTTCATAACAAAAATAACAGGTTCATTAAGCATTAGCAGCAGGAGGCGAGTATATGTAAGCTAAACATAAAACTTCCTATCGCATGCATGCATGAAAAACAATATTAGAACTATAGGAAAAACACAATATTAATGACTCGATATCAACTTCCCATATGTGCTGCATGTAAAATGAATATCAGAACTATAGGATATATCAAAGAATATCCATTGCCAAAAATTGTTGTGGAGTCCAACATGCACAATCATTTCGCCTCCCACTCCTGCAAAATTGGAAAAAAATCAACAAATGATTATCATTAAACCGCTTATTGAAAACCAAAAATCAATATTAAGACTAAATATAAAATAGAACCACATCAAATTACCAAAACTGTCCGAAAGTTAAATACAACCTCGACTCTTAGCAGAAAAGGTCAATAAATGATTATCATAAAAAATGATCAGGAAATCGCCAGCAAATATTTTCTTTTTATCAGTTTGTTGTGCGTGTTATTTTATCATAATTGTGCCGATTGCGTGACATCCCTCTGTCACAGCAGTGACTAAAATCATTAATTTTAAACGGCTTGTCAAGCTTGCATGGATAGACAATATATTAATTTAAATGTGTTCAGAATTATACACTGCACGAAAGCAATTTTTCAAAAGTTGAATGTTATTTTTTGTTAAAGTTACTGTGCATCTATATATAATGGCAGTAATCGTTGGTTAGTTGTATATCCGTAACCAGTTTGGTAATTTGGGACAATTGTGTATAATGAGAAATCAACTGAAACCAATTCAATTGTTTCAAAAGAAATAAATGTATTCAGTGTTTGTTTGCGTTGATTCGTCAGACCGTATCCGGCAGAAAGCCTGTTTGCATTGACGTTCATCGAGTGTGATTATGAATAATTCTAAAGGTGTTTAGATGTTTGAAACAAAGCAAGCTGCACCTAGCTTATGAGAAGGTGCTTTTAACGTTTCGTATTTGAAAGCTGAATATTATTGGACGGTGACATTTCTATACGTTGTTTGACTGAGAAATATTTTAGAAAGTACACAAATACACAACCCTATGTCAATTTAGCAGGAATACCAATCATATTTCGAGTAATAAAAAACAAGACATATCTATTTGGTAAGTGAGTTTACAACATTACAGAAGTGTATTATTTTTTAACTAATTGCTAAATTGGTGGCTGTTTTTTATGTTGTTCTGTTACAAAATAGTTGGTATATAAAATTATACGAACACAGAATCCTATGTGTATAAGCATGGGAAGTTATATATTAAGTAATAAATTCTATTCTCGTATGTTTGCTAAATGATACACCAATTATATGGCCTATCTCACTATAATTCTGAATGTTTTGCACTGCAAAAGCTTTTGTGATCAAAGTAGCTGTTAACAAACTATGAGTATGACTCAAGAGTTTTGACAGGAAAATTGCTTGTTTGAAAGAGGTTTATAATTACTGTCACCCGACCAAGTCTCAATATATTGTATAAAGCCAGGGGCAATAACGGTTTCTGTGATCAAAGTAGCAATGAACAAAGTCAATGACTCAAAGACGTTTTGACCAGAAAATTATGTGTTTGAAAGAGGTTTACATTCGATCACACACTTTGACCCAAACTACATGTGCTAATTCGATAGATACCATTCTGGGCTGCTGTGTATTGTATATGCGTTCAATATTAATCAATAGTGTCTTTTGAGGGCATATTTTATTTTATACCGCCATATTGAAAATTAAAACCTACAGCTTCTTATACAGCTAGAGACCAGAGTAGCCTATGTGTCTCTTGATGATATCTCAAACGTGGTGGTTCAGTGTATAGGTAGTATTCTACAATTCGCTCTCATGGGTTACGCCCGAAATATCTGAAAGAGATATCTCAAACGTGGTGGTCCAGTATAGGTAGTATTCTATAATAAGCTGCCGTGGTTTGTGTCTGAATTATCTGAACCTAAGATATCTCAAACGTGGGGACCATTGTAGGTAGTATAATGTACAATAAGCTATCGTGGTTTGTGACTGTGTCTAGTCTGTCTAGACTGGCTGATTTAAAAAAGACTTGACGTTTAAGTTTCGTTTTCAAATTCTACTTGCATGTATAAAAGAGATGATGCCATCTCGAATTTATCTCTCTGCGATCTGCATGTTCACTGGAATGTAAAATCAGCATTGTCTTCGTTGGCAACCAGTTACAAAGAACAGACACAATCATATTTTTAAACACAATATCCGTTTCAAAATGTGACAACATTTTTATGCGATCTTTCAGTTAGAACTAGAAGATTTGTAAATATTAGTTCGGAGTTTTTAATTAATTTTACCTTGTTGTGTGCGGCTGTTGGCAAGATCTGGACGATGTCGTATATATAGGAGATGGAACTTTAATTAATATAGTGATGTTATACAATCTTGTAAGAATCACATTGATAATATTTTTAATGAAATATAAGTTGAGGAGCACACTCCAAATGGGAGAGAGAGGGTGCATGAGGGGAAGGTTTTTCCTGCAATCTTTTTGGCACATGGATAGTGCATGTCCCTTTCGTCTCATGCAGTGACTGGACTTTGATTCCTTGCAATATGCAGTTGTCTGATTATGATTTCCGTTTCTTTCAAGCGTTCCGATTTCCTCCCACAATAACACTGGGTTAATAACTTTCTGGACTTCTAGGAAGAACAGATTATCCTTACTAGACCTCTAGGAAGAACAGTTTAGAACTGATAGAGCTATCCAGTATAAATAAAGTTAGTTTAGTTTAGGTTTCCTCCTGTAGTAACATTGGATCTATAAAAGATGACTTTTATTGGACCTCCAGGAAGAACAGTTTAGAACTGATAGAGCTGTCTAGTATAAATAAAGTTAGTTTAGTTTAGGTTTCCTCCTGTAGTAACACTTGATCAATACAAGATGACTCTTACTGGACCTCCAGGAAGAACAGTTTAGAACTGATAGAGTGTCCAGTATAAATGAAGTTAATTTAGGTTTCCTCCTATAGTAACACTGGATCAATAAGAGATGATCCTTACTGGACCTCTATATAGGAAGAACAGTTTAGAACTAATAGAGCTATCCAGTATAAATGAAGTTAGTTTAGTTTAGTTTAGTTTTCCTCCTGTAGTAGCCATTATATAGGAAATTACTCTTATACAGGATCTCTAGGAAGACGTTCATATTCGCAGAACTGTCGAGGAAACGCACCCTGAACGTTCTTGCGGGAAGTCGGTTTCATCGAACTTCACGTCGTGTCGTGAAAAGATTAGAATACAAGGCTAGGGCCCATACAGGAATGTTCAAAGATCTATTTGGAAAACAGGAAAATCTATTTATTTATGATATCTGACCGTGTCGTAACGATTTAGTCAATATATAGGTATACAAGCACCCTTGTCTAGCTTCTTTGATATCAAGACAGCTTTCTTTATGAGTTCAAGAGCTTCTTGTGCGCACTGCCAAAGTTTGTCGCATCCGCGTCTTTGATACATCATTGTGTATAGATCCGTTTGCGTGATGTGATGATGTGTGGTCGGAAAAGACACTTCTCAATACATCAATGCAGAATACTGTTACATGTTCAAGAGCATGAAAACCGGTTGTAACGAATCCAAGCCAATATTGAAGTATTTAGCTAACTGTTAATGTTTTCAAATAAATTTCGAAGAAAAGGATTCGTCCAGTTTTATTACGAATTGTTACAGGGGGCATTTTAAGCTCGAGATTAATAAAATAAAGGTTTTATGAGTGTTCCAACTATGTTTCAACTTAAATAGAATACATGATAGTGTTGGGAAAGCATTAAGAAAAGCTTGATAGATCGCGTGCCTGGGTTTAATACATTTTTGTGATACGAGTTACGTAGCTATAATTTTATAATATAAAGTATTATATGTTTTAACGCCATCCAAACCTACAAAGAAATGCTATAATTTTGTTGATGTTACGTTTCTTCTTTTTCCAGACTTCTACTGTGTCTACAATTCTCAGAAATGAAGATTTCAAACACCATTTCATTGATTCTACTCTTCCTAACCCCAACCTCAGCCAAGCACCTCAACGACAGTGACATCAAGCCTCCAGACAGTTTGGTTAGCCGTTTTGGAAACGTCCGCATTGGTGGTCTCGTTCCTGTTCACATTCAACAATCGAACAAGACATTGTGCGAAATCTACGATCCGCGATTCTCGTACATCCGCTACAGGGATGGAACGGTGAAATGCTATAAGCTAAACATTGGAGGAGTCTTGTGGAGTGAGGCCATACGATTTGCTGTACTAGCTGTGAATGAGTTAGTTCTCAATGGTATGTATTGTCCCTATCATCTGCTACATGCTGTATCATGCCGTGGGGAAATAATGCTAGTTTATTAAACTGTCTACGTTACAGGTACAAATATAACCCTTGGATATGACATCCGGGATTCGCTCAATAACGTCGATGTTGCCTTAGATGTAGCCCTGGATTTCACGACGCGCCGAGAAAGGCCCAAAGTGGGCAATAGCACACGTGAGTGCAATTGTTCCGTGAACACGACCCAGCCTTACGTGGTCGCGTTAATTGGTGGCGCACGTTCCGAAATCTCGCAACGCGTCAACACTGTCGCGAGTGTCTCGTCATTGCCACAAGTCAGTTACTCGAGCACCAGTGTTTCATTGAGTGATAAAACAAAATACAGGTGCGTGTTTTCCTTGTACAGAACCTGATACAGAATTTTTCTTAGAATCTACCTGTATTATTAGATTTTTCATTTATCCAACACAAAATTATGTGCATCTTGTGAAGTAAATATTCATATACCACCATCATCACCATCGCCATTATCATCACCATCATAGATAGATAGATAAATAGATAGATAGATGATAGATATTTAATTTAATAAATTTCTCCCTAAAAGGGTTTTCAGAAATTATTTACAGTTACAGCATGCAGTAATAATTATTAAGATTACAAATATAAGTTTAAACAATTATCAGAGACTGTATACAAAATGTCTTAGGCTATACTAAATGTTATCTTTTGCAAGCAAATGTTTTTTAATTAAGTGCTACGTTAAAAATTTTAAGAGAAGAGCAGTCTTTCAAGTTCTTGTCTAAATTGTTCCAAATATGGACGGCTCTATATGTAAATGATCGTTGGCCAGCTGCAGTCTTAAATAGAGGTATTTGAAGAGAGTCGTGTGTAAGAGTCCTACGGTCGTGGATTGATGACCTTTTTATCAATTTGTTACAAAGGTAGAGGTGCTAGGTTATTCACACATTTATAGGTCAAACTGGCGTCTCTAAAATATAGTAATTTGTCTACTGGGAGCCAATTCAATTCACGTAGAAGTGGAGTTACGTGGTCATACTTCCTGGATTTCGTGATGATTTTGCAAGCAAAGTTCTGGATCGACTGAACTTTCTTCACGTTGGAAGCAGACGTATTCGACCACACCGAAGAACAATAAACCATTTTGCTCATGACTAAAGATGAGATGACTTCCGATAAAGTTTTTGTGTCGAAACACTTTAGCACACGTGAGTGCGAATGTTCCGTGAACACGACCCAGCCTTACGTGGTCGCGTTAATTGGTGGCGCATCATCATCATCACCATCATCATCATCATCATCATCATCACCATCATCATCACCATCATCATCATCACCATCATCACCATCATCACCATCATCACCATCATCACCATCATCATCCATCATCACCATCATCATCATCATCATAATCATCATAATCATCATCATCATCATCTTCATCAATAATATCATCATCACCATAATCAATTTACTTAATTTGCTTGCACCTACAAAGTAGTGTCAACATGTCTAAAGTTACCAGCTTGATTTATCACCAGTTGTCACTAACGACCATTCTCTACTTTCGAAACCATATAGAACGTTTCTTCGTACCATACCGCCAGACAATTTCCAAGCGCGAGCAATGGTGGACATAGTTAAGAGGTTTGGTTGGTCGTACGTTGCAACCGTCGCTACAGACGAAGACTACGGTCGTCGAGGCGTCGAAGGCTTTCACGAGGAAGCGAGGAAAAGCAACATATGCATCTCAACACAACGACTATTCCATTTCAATATAAGCGATGATGATACTAAAAGAGATATCAAAGATATAGTCAGCAAGTTAAAGGCGGACACTAAAACTAATGTTATTGTTTTATTCTGCGAGCGACCTCGCGCTGTTGCAGTTTTAACCGAAGCTCAGAAGCAAGGCATGACAGGCAAAACATGGATTGCAACCGAAGATTGGGGATTCAGTCAAAGGATTTACGATTTTGATATCTCCACTGTGGGTGGGATATTGGGTGTGGTCACTCATGCCACCCGTTTGGACCTATTCGAAAAACATCTAGCTGCTCTTAATTCTAGCACCACCGAGAACCCGTGGTTATTAGAATATTTTCGCGAGAAGAGTTGCAAAGTTGGGGATAAGAATTGTAAAATAGATCCATCGTTGACCGCCACTATATTGCATAGGAATAAAGCTTCCTATGTGATGGATGCAGTCTATACGGTCGTTCTAGGTTTGTTAGATTATATGAAGTGCGGAGAACCTGATGCTGCAGATTGTCTGAAGGATATAGACTTGGAAAAGTTAAGAGAGTACATGTTGAATGTCAACGATTCTGGAAGTAGTGGAAGATTGATCAATTATGATAAACTTGGAAATCCTGGAGGTATCATCAGAATATTTTGTTTTAACACAGAGAGTAAATTAACTTTATTTATACTGGATAACTAGCACTCTATCAGTTCCAAACTTTTCTTCCTAGAGGTCCAGTCATGTCTTATTGATCCAATGTAACTACAGGATGAAACCTAAACTAAACTAACTTTATTTATACTGAATAGCTCTATCAGTTCTAAATTGTTCTTCCTAGAGGTCCAGTAAGGATCATCTCTTATTAATCCAGTGTTACTACAGGATGAAACCTAAACTAAACTAACTTTATTTAAACTGGATAGCTCTATCAGTTCTAAACTGTTCTTCCTAGAGGTCCAGTAAGAGTCATCCCTTATTGATCCAGTGTTACTACAGGAGGAAACCTAAACTAAACTAACTTTATTTATACTGGATAGCTCTATCAGTTCCAAACTTTTCTTCCTAGAGGTCCACTCATGTCTTATTGATCCAATATAACTACAGGATGAAACCTAAACTAAACTAAGTTTATTTATACTGACTAGCTCTATCAGTTCTAAACTGTTCTTCCTAGAGGTCCAATAAGGATCATCTCTTATTGATCCAGTGTTACTACAGGAGGAAACCTAAACTAAACTAACTTTATTTATATTTGATAGTTATATCAGTTCTAAACTGTTCTTCCTAGAGGTCCAGTAAGGATCATCTCTTATTGATCCAGTGTTACTACAGGAGGAAACCTAAACTAAACTAACTTTATTTATGCTGGATAGCTCTTTATAATATATTATTTTCTTTTACCATTTTCAGGCATCTACTATCTCATCAGCAACCTTCAACCAGATCCGACCACCAAGAAAGGAAAGAAATTCGTTCATGTAGGCAACTGGTCCAACGGTCAACTGCACATAACCAATCCTGTCTACTGGAACGGCGGACGGAACAACACCCCCGTATCAAGATGCTCAGCTCCCTGCCCCCCGGGACATTACTATGTGAAAGGCGATGTGTCATGTTGTTGGAAATGCGTCCTCTGCCCGCTGGGGAAATTTAAAGCCACAACAGGGAACCACCAATGCGATTCCTGCCCCGAAGGGTATGTCTCGGACGCCAACCACACACGATGCGTGCGCATACCGGAAGAGTTCATCCGCTGGGATTCGGTAACATCGGCCATTTTGGTGTCGCTGTCTCTCTGCGGGGTCCTGGTAACTAGCTTCATGTTTGGAGTCTACTTCAAATACCGTAAGACCCCAATTGTCAAAGCTGCCTCGAGATATCCCTCATTACTTCTCCTCGTATCCATTGCGATAATGTTCGCATTACCTTTGCTATACATCGGCCGACCGAGTATTGTGCTGTGTCATATACAACCGATCGCTTTTGGGTTCCTAATGACTCTAGCTGGTTCGTTGGTCCTGACAAAGACGTTCAGACTCATACAAATTTTTAACAACGTGGTCACGAATCTAAGAGACAAACCTTTGGTGACGGTTAAAACTCAATTCGTTATGGTGATATTGATGTTAGTTCTAGAGGTCATACTGATAGCCGTGTTCCTTGATCGAAGGCCGATACAAGTTAATACGGTCGTCGGGGGTGCCACTGTACCTATAGATTGTGGCGAATCTGCAAAGGATCTCCACACTGCCGTGGTGTTGTACAATTGGTTTTTGGCATTAATTTGCGCGGTCATGGCTTTTAGAGCCCGATCTCTTCCGGCGAACTTTAGCGAAGCACGGCTAATCAGTTTTGCGATGTTCACGTTTTCCGTTGTCTGGCTTTCGTTCCTAATCGTGTTCTCGGGGAGTATAATAACTCAGTTCTCAGTCTATATATGCATTTGCATTCTTGCAACGGCGCTAGATTTTGTCGTTTGTATGTTTGCGCCAAAAATATTCGTGATCCTTTTCAAGCCAGAACTGAACGAGATGCACGTGGTCCGCGCGGATATCTACCGTTACACGATGAAGCAACGCGCACGCTCGCACACGCAGGGAGAAAGCTCGGAGAGCGAACTAACACGCGCGCAACTCGAGGGCTCGTTGCCACGAAGAAAATCCGCACACATCTTGCAAGAATCAAAATTATAAATAAGGGGAATTTATTTGGGAATTGGAAATTACTTGTTGGGAATAATGGTATTGAAGAGAGAATATCTCGAATAGATTCTCACGCATACGTTAAATTATGGGAGAATCTCACGGAATCATTGACTTTGTGCAAGGTGTTGGATATCCAAATTGCACTTTTCCTACCTCCTGAACAGGCGTCTTAGGGGCTGTTTACGTGATGGAAGGTGGGATGATTTTGATGTATTGAAATAAGTCATTAGGCTAAACGAAAGTTCAAATGCTGGTTAACTGAACTGTAGAGAAGATGTTGTAGTTCAAGAAGATTATTATTGCTACTTGAACCATTCGTTTACAGTTAACTATTATTTATCTCTAGAAAATAATGCACTGTGTGAATCGTGCACTGTGACTTATTTCAATACATCGAAATCATCCCGCCTCACATCTTGTCCAGGCAAAGCGGGATCACATAAACAGCCCCTTATTCAGCAAATTGCGCATGCTGCCTTTGATCCCTTGGGGGCGAGGCAGCACTTTCCTTGCGATAGTAACTTCTAGTTAATCATACCTTTTTATCTGTCATTTAGAGACATGTAACATAAAGACAGTCAAGTACATTTTGTTGTTGCAAACACAGTAGAGCGAAATTCAGATTTTGGCAGATTTATTAGAAAATATAGTAAATTCAGGTTATTTTATTAAATTCAATAAAAATTCGGGCAAACTTTGAACTGCTCCCTTCCCCCTGGAAAGCATCGACCAGTCCCGTACGCTTATTGTAAAATGTGTACTTCGGTTGCATGATATGTATAATTAGTGTTCTTGTGACATGATTAGGAAACAAATTTTGAATAAAGTTTTTATTGTTTGTAAACTGTGACGCGCAGCCAACTATATAGACGTAAAAGCCATAGGATAATGTAAAAGCGATTAGATCTTAACTATTTATATTTTTCAATATTAGCCGACACACGAACGAGGGTCGCCTATCGCGCCAGCTTGTCCATTTCATGATCAGTCAGTTAGAAGTGCTGCAGAATTAATTACCCTTTACATCGGTATCGTTCGGTATCCGCTAACAAATCGCGTTATGAATTTCTGTAATCCTACACAGATCGTGCTGGTTTGTAAGCTTTGTTGTCACAAATCTTACACAAGCTATACACGGGTCGTGTCTTCGCCGCCATCGGCAATTTCAGAATTCAGATTCCTTCTGTGAAAATGCCCCTTTTTTTCACCTATGAATAATTTATAGACTACTTAGTTTTACAAAGACCTATATAAGACAAGCAGGCACACAAAGTTAATTTACAAATAAATAAATTTAAAAAGAACTTTTATAGTTTCTAACTATACTACGAAGCTACGCCTCCGGTTCGTGACTTTGCGAACGTCTCCAGCGCATTAATTCATTATCCTACCGGCGCATTGCCATTGGAGCATTCACAAAACAGCCTTTGACATGCAGAGGACTTTCCGTTTTACTGCGACGCACTTAGTCAATACCTGCAGTGTGGCATGTAATTATGTTTCATAAAAAGGTGGCAAGTCTGTTCCTTGGTAAGTACTGATATTTATAACATCATAAGGGTACTTCACTAATTGCTAATTGGTTACAGTTTTCTACAGTTATTTTGCAACAAAATACTTGGGCTGAATAGACGAATACAGAATCCTATATCATAATCAGCTCCATATATGAGGATCGAGACTCGACGTCAGTACGTTTCCGAGTACTTTATAAAGGACAGCTTGTTCTAACCCAAACGTGTAGGTAAAATTAACTTTATTTGTACTGGATAGCTCTATCAGTTCTATTTCAAATGCTCTGGCAAGAGGCATCCTTATTGGTGCAGTGTTACAGTCAAGATACAAGAACCTTACAACCGCTTTTCGGCTTTTGTACTTGTTTGTTCTCATGTCCTGTGTTTTGTTCTGTGTTACGGTAGCGGGTACCGATTTATAGGAAAATACCGCGATAAAATTTAAATTTCGCACCTTGGTTTATGTGTAAAGGTCGTACTTCTGTACGCGTGTTTAATTTATTCTGTGTCTTGCGGTTGTTTGTCATGGTAAACTTAAAAAGGCTCTTCTCTTCTTGCATGCAAATGAATCCCATTCTGCACACGGGTAAAAGTTACATATGCAGATGTACGGTACTGCTAGCAAATTATATTCTCATATATAATGTGATTAACAATTGATACTCCTACAAACAATTTTGCATGCAAATGACTCTTAACTTTCGTTAAAAAACTGATTATACAAAGCCTGTTACTCGCGTGTCTATTTGCGTGATCCTATTTAAATCTATGTCGGAAAAGACACTTCTCAATATACCAGTACGCAATATCGACATTTTTCATCCTGTTCTTTCGTTATTCATATCACTCTAGGATGTGTTATGTAAAAAAGTGTTGGCTTACAATATTCTGTGACCACTTTTTAACATCTTTCTGTATATCCGAAATTGCGTTGCAAGTTTGAGTAGCAAAAATCGCATGCTCAGTGTTTAATGGCCGATTTACAGCACCTTAATCTGTCGCGTGCAACCTGCTTACAACTTGAGTTGTATTGTGCGAACCAAGCACACAAACTCGGCTAATTATAAGTTGTCGTAGTTGAGTTGTGTGCTTGATTTATACAGTACAACTCAAGTTGTAAGCAGATTACATGCGACAGTTTTAGGCAAAAGTTGTGTAGTACATACATACTTACATAATCATTTATTTAGTCACGCTAGCCTCATCAGCGTTTGCAATCTCGTTCCCCGAGCATGCCCGTTCGCAGGTTAAGGGTGGGCATAGCCCACCCTTAACCTGCGAACGGGCATGCTCGGGGAACGAGATTGCAGCGTTTGCTGGTGTTCATGAGGGGCGTGTATTGCAAAATACATAAAGCTACTTACAAATTATGATAGACATTAAAGATATTACTTGCAAGTATAAAATACAGTCACAAATTACTAAGACGAAATACAGATTAATACAAGGACTACTCAGAAAGATTATCGAATACAGAAAAATACATTGAAACTAAACTATTTTAAAATAATCATTTATCAAGGTGAGTCAGCTTCAACTTCGTTGCGAGTTTAAAATCCTTTTAAATGTGGTAATGGAATTTGCATTTTTTGCTTCAATAGGTAAATTATTCCAATGGTAGCTCCATTGTGTAGTGTATGAATCGGCTTTATATCATGGCCGTGCCTTAACACAGTTCGGAATTTGTCCGGCCTTGCATAAAAGAATGTTGTGATAAGAGTTTATTTGGCCGTTTTGTTGACTTTTTGTTCCTTTGTTATTTCAGTGAACTACATCAACAATTCTCAAAAATAAATATGTTGAACATCGTTCCATTACTCTTACTTTTCCTAATCCCATCTTCAACCAAACTCCTCAACGACAGTGACATCCGGCCTCCAGAACGTTTGTTCAGCGATTTTGGTGACGTTCGCATTGGTGCTCTCGTCCCCGTCCACATTCGGGAATCCAACAAGACGTTATGCGACATCCACAATCCGCGATTCTCGTACATTCGCTACAGAGATGGAACGGTGAAATGTTATAAGCTAAATATTGCGGGAGTTCTGTGGAGTGAGGCCATACGATTTTCCGTGCTGGCTGCGAATCAGTTATTCTTTAACGGTACGTATTCCGTACTGGTCGAGATTAGCAATATAGTGCCTTAATTAATTAGAACATCCAGTTTCAATTCATTAAAACATCCAGTTTTTTAATCTAAGTAAAGAGAAGGGAATGAAACGCAACAGCTAAAAAGAACATAATGAAATTAGTAAAATTGCAAAATTTGGTTGCGAAATGTTGTAAAATACAGAAAATATAGCCTTGCGGAGTTTGCATATTTTCAGTATATTTGTATTACGAGCGGAAATTGTTACCATTTTCGGCTCAAAAATGGTAACAATTTCCGCACGTAATACAAACATACTGAAAATATGCAAACTTCGCAAGACTATATTTTCTGTATTTTACAACATTTCGTAACCAAATTTTGCAATTTTACTGATTTTAATAAATTCTTTACGGCGATTAATATCTTTTTCCCCCTAAATAAAAAAATAGTCTAACATGCAAGTTGTCTATTATGAAAGCTTCGTTCTAGATTATTTCAGCTCGATTATGGCAAGTAATGCTAATTAACTTGAATTCATTCATTAAACTATCTATGTTATTATTACAGGTGCAAATATAACCCTAGGTTATGACATCCGGGATTCAGTCAACGACGTCGATGTCGCCCTAGACGCAGCCCTGGATCTCACGACGCTCCGAAGAAGACGTAAAGTGAGCAATAGCTCACGCGAGTGCGAGTGTTCCGTGAACACGACCCAGCCTTACGTGGTCGCGTTAATTGGTGGCGCACGTTCCGAAATCTCGCAACGCGTGAATACTATCGCTAGTGACTCGTCTTTACCGCAAATTAGTTACTCGAGTACTAGTGTTTCACTGGATGACAAGACAAACTACAGGTGCGTGTTTTGCTTTCATGCCCCACACAAGCTTTTAGCTTTAAATACCGTGGCGTTTAAATAATAAGTGATTTTTAGGCAACTCAGTCGAGTGTGAATTTATGCATTTATTAAGACCTAACTGTTACTATAAGTCTTAAGATCACAGATGAGCATAATATAACTTCCTTCTAAAATCATATGTGTAATTATAACTTTTCCGAACAATAGAATGTAATTGTTTTGGAACACGACCATTGTAACACTTATACCAATTAGCGTTCGTCAGCACTTAGTCGCTGGGAGTACTCCAGTTCAGTTGGTAGATGATCTTTGCAGCATGAACATCAATTCTTTCTATTTACTCCAAATCATTATAGCCCGTAGGTTACGGATGGCAGTATAACCTTGAAAGTAAAAGTCCCCCCTACTTTTTATCAGTAGAAAGTATAATGATTTTAATAAGTTAAACTTTTGAGTAGATGCTTTAATGACTTCAGAAACGTGATAGTTCCAATTTAGTTGATTATCAATTTCCAATCCCAAACATCTAGAAACCATCACATACACAGATTCAAAGATGAAAATAGATGAGCCAGTTTCAAAACATTTTTGTTTAATAATCGTTTTGAAGGCCCTTAGGGATGGGGTAATTTTTTGCCTCATAAGGAAGGCTATTCCAAAGTGCAGCACCATTAGAGTTAAATCACCTCTTGCCAAAATCTTCTACCACTAAAACTATTCCCTACTTTCAAAACCATAGAACTTTTCTTCGCACCATTCCGCCAGACAATTTCCAAGACCGAGCAATGATGGACATAGTCAAGAAGTTTGGTTGGTCGTACGTAGCGACAGTCGCTACAGACGAAGAGTACGGTCGTCGAGGCGTCGAAGGCTTTCATGAGGAAGCGAGGAAAAGCAACATATGCATCTCAACTCAACGACTATTCCATTTCAATATAAGCGCTGATGATACTAAAAGAGATATCAAAGATATAGTCAGCGAGTTAAAGGCGGACACTAAAACTAATGTTATTATTTTATTCTGCGAGCGACCTCGCGCTGTTGCAGTTTTAACCGAAGCTGAGAAGCAAGGCATGACAGGAAAAACATGGATTGCAACCGAAGATTGGGGATTCAGTGAAGATGTCTACGATTTTGATATCTCCACTGTGGGTGGGATATTGGGTGTGGTCACTCACGCCAGCCGTTTGGAACTGTTCGAAAAACATCTAGCTGCTCTTAATTCTAGCACCACCCAGAACCCGTGGTTAATGGAATATTTTCGCGAGAAGAGTTGCATGGTTGGGGATAAGAATTGTAAAATAGATCCATCGTTGAACGCCACTATATTGCATAGGAATAAAGCTTCTTATGTCATGGATGCAGTCTATACGGTCGTTCTAGGTCTGTTGGATTATATGAAATGCGGAAAAGCTGATGCTGCAGATTGTCTGAAGGATATAGACTTGGAAAAGTTAAGAGAATACATGTTGAATGTTAACACTACTGGAAGTAGTGGAAGATTGATCAATTATGATGAACAAGGAAATCCTGGAGGTATCATCAGAGTATTTTGTTTTAACAGAGAAAATAAACTCATTTTATTTATATTGAATAGCTAGCGCTCTATCAGTTCCAAATTTTGGTCCCTAGAGGTCCAGTAAGAGTCATGTCTTATTAATTCAGTCTTATGTCATTGATGCAGGAGGAAACTTAATATAAACTAACTTACTAACTTTATTCTTACTGGATAGCTCTACCAGTTGTAAATTATTCTTCCTAGAGGTCCAGCAAGGACCGTCTTTAAAAATTTGGTGTTGCCTCGATAGGAATCCGGAGTATCAAACTAGAAGCACTCTTCTCACATGTGACTGAAGTGACATTATAATCCGACAACTGAAATCACCGTCATAGAGGAGATATTGATATCGATATCCCACGAATATTATTTAAATATGGCTACTGAAAATATGTAACATGTTCCTTATTATTGCTTTATCATTTTCTTTTACCGTTTTTAGGCATCTACTACCATATCAGCAACCTTCAACCAGACCCGACTGCCGAGAAAGGAAAGAAATTCGTGCTTATAGGCAACTGGTCGAACGGTCAACTGCACATAACCAATCCTGTCTATTGGAACGGCGGACGGAACAACACCCCCGTATCAAGATGCTCAGCTCCCTGCCCCCCGGGACATCACTACGTGAAAAGTGACGTGTCGTGCTGCTGGAAATGCGTCCTCTGCTCGTTGGGGCAATTTAAAGCCGAAACAGGGAACCACCAATGCGATTCCTGTCCCGCAGGGTATGTTTCGGACTCCAACCACACACGATGCGTGCGCATACCGGAAGAGTTCATCCGCTGGGATTCGGTAACGTCGGCCATTTTGCTGTCGCTGTCTATATGCGGGGTCCTGGTAACTAGCTTCATGTTTGGAGTCTACTTCAAATACCGTAAGTCCCCAATTGTCAAAGCTGCCTCGAGATATCCCTCATTACTTCTCCTCGTATCCATTGGGATAATGTTCGCATTGCCTTTATTATACATCGGCCGACCGAGTATTGTGCTGTGTCATATACAACCGATCGCTTTTGGGCTCCTAATGACTCTAGCGGGTTCGTTGGTCCTAACAAAAACATTCAGACTAATACAAATTTTTAACAACCTGGTCGCGAATCTAAGAGACAAACCTTTGGTGACGGTTAAGACTCAATTCTTTATGGTGATATTGATGTTAGTTGTAGAGGTCGTATTGATTATCGTATTCCTAGGTCAAAGACCGATACAAGTTAATACGGTCGTCGGGGGTGCCACTGTACCTATAGACTGCGGCGACTCCGCGAAGGATCTGCACACTACTGTGCTGTTGTACAATTGGCTCTTGGCATTAATTTGTGCGGTAATAGCTTTTCGTGCTCGATCCCTTCCTGCGAACTTCAAGGAAGCACGGTTGATTTGTTTTGCCATGTTTACCTTTTCTGTCATATGGCTTTCGTTCCTAATCGTGTTCTCCGGGAGTATAATAAGTCAATTCTCAGTGTACATATGCGTTGCGATCTTGGCAACAGCCCTAGATCTTCTCGTGTGCATGTTTGCACCGAAAATATTCGTCATCCTCTTCCGGCCAGAATTGAACAAGATTGACGTGGTTCGCGCAGATATTTATCGTTACACACGGAAACAAAGTCAAGCGCACTTTCGTGTACACGGGGCACAAGATGACGTCACAGGGTCTCAACTCGAGGGTTCATTACCACGTTCCGCGAATGTCTTCCAAGAATCGAAATTGTAGTGTCTGACCAGAGTATATAAGGGGAATTTATTTGGATTTGGAAACTACTTGTAGCAAACTACTGTATACATTACGTTGTAAAATTCATGAATAACTACTTAGGATACGAACAAATCACGACGCGGTATTTAGGTCACATGGCACACTTGTAAACCGCATTAAAGATCAGGAAGTCATGTTAGAGGGATGTTTATGAAAGTTATGAATATTAATTCAGAAGCAGGGATGTTTATGAAAATTATCGATGATAATTCAGATTTTAAATGCACGCTAATGAAGCGCGAGATTCTCCCCACGGGCAGTGAATACTAATAAAGTAAACAAAAAAAATTCGTTTTACAAGTACGTTAAAATATTCGCAACTGATCTTTATGGGCATTTAATAAGTCTCATGCCATCTGAGATCAGCTGCTCATATTTTAGCTAGTACTTAAAAACCTCATTACGAATTCATGAAGAAAACACAAGAGAAATCATGAGTGTGAAGGAGTTTGTATACCTAGGTTCAATTTTCTCACCTGCAAGTATCATTCTTGTCCCCAGATTCATTTTCACTCGGTCATTATATAATTCCTATATCCGATACAAACACTAATCTGAAATAAGACTGAATAAAGCATCCTATTGAATTCAGGAATCCGATTTTGAAGCCAGAATATTTTAATGAGATGAGACTTATAGATCAGTCAAATTCATATCATGACCAGTCTAATCGTTTGCTGTTTAAGTTCAGTTAGACTATAAAGCAAATACCTTCGCCTATGTGACTTGTGAAATATAGCTTCCAAAACATCTTCGAAGTAGTTTTAGAACGTTTTATACACCACATAATGAGGCTTATGGCGGCCATATTTGATGGCCCCATTAGTTATTCACCGGCTAATTCAGGAAAAAAGAGAGGCTACTGATGATAAATTCTTATCTAGGCAATATTTGTCCTTTCTCACTAGTGACTAGAAACATAAAGGAAGAGTTAAACATGTCCACAACACCAGACTAGATTAATTGTGGGGCCATCCAATATGGCCGCCATTGGCTTCACTTATATGCACAGCAGATGCTGTATCAAGTCTTATTTCAGATCAGTGGATACAACACGGCTGCTCATATTGTGAATCATATTGTAATATTAATATTATAAATATTAAGTAAGTAAAAGCCACAGAATATTTAATGAAATTCACATTTAATTATTCAAGTAAAATACATCAATGTTTAAGGTCATGCAGTTATTATTTGCGTCGTTAGTAGTCACCGTCAAGTTATAACCCTAGCAGCGCCTGAGCTGACACATTAAGAAGATCAACACAGTAAAACGGTGCATTACATTCACAAGGGTTGAAATAATTTAGATTCTATGTTAGTATATATGTATAAAATTTTGAAGACTGTTGAAATGATCCTACATATGTCTTTGTTTTGGTAAGAGTTTATCAACTGTTGTGGCTAAGTTGTTTTCCTAAATATTCCCTGAAAAAAAAATAAAACACATATACCTCAACTTACTCAATCGTATGCTAGATATATAAAATGTAAGCTATAACTGTATCAGTTCTAGATGTCCAGCAGATGCCATCTCTTATTGATCCAGTGTTACTACAGGAGGAAACCTAAACTAAACCAACTTATTTATACTGGATAGCTCTATCATTTCTAAACTGTTCTTCCTAGAGGTCCAGTAAGGATCATCTCTTATTGATCCAGTGTTACTACAGGAGGAAACCTAAACTAAACCAACTTATTTATACTGGATAGCTCTATCAGTTCTAAACT